AAGGAGCCCAGAAAGGCCCTCTGAGTCTGCCTTTGTGGCACTGTGTGCATTCCTCTATGTGGGCTCTGAGCCTGGACTTGAGATGAACTTAGGAGCAAATACCAGTGTCGTCAGTTATGAACCAGAGATCACACCTCAGACACATAGGAAGCCAAGCATGTCCTAGCACTGGAGGTGCAGTCAGGACCCAAGCCAGGCAAGATGGGCAGCAGATGAGTGAGAAATCACTTGCCAGAAGCAAGAGACTGCTTTCTCTCCTCATTCTTCCTGTCCATTCAGGGAGTGATGATTCATTTTCATTGTCAACTTGAGTAGATCTAGAATCACCATGGATTCCTATATTGCATTAAATGAGGTAGGAGAACCCATTCTAAACGTGGGTGGCACTATTCCATGGGCTGGGGACCCAGACTGAATAAAAAGGAAACAGTGAGTTGAATCCCAGAACTCATCTCCCTCTGCTTCCTGACTATGGATGAACTGTGAGCAGCTGCCCCATCCTCCTGCTGCTGTGCCTTCCCTGCCATGATGGACTTAAATTACAAGTCAAATAAACCCTCCTTCAAGTTGCATTCACAGAAACAAGACAAGTAACTAACACACAGGGAACTATCCTAAGAAGGTTCAAGAAGCCTGAGGCATCTCAACTAGTAGCCTCTACCCAAATTCTAACACAAAGACTACACCCCATCCCCTAAGGAGGACAGTGACTTGGAATGATCAGTCAGGAGCCAAAGCCATCCATCACAACAGGTAGCTCAGAGGTAGCAACCCTCACTGACCCTCGATCTTGACCCAGCCTTGGCTGGGTCAGATACTCCAATTAGGGTGTTCATGTGTTCATGCAGGTATGTGTGTCTACGTGCATGGAGACCAGAGGTCACCAGGTGTTTTCCTCAATTGCTTTTCCACCTTATTCTTCGAGACAAAGGTCTATCATTGAACCTGGAGCACACTTGTTTGGCTAGACTGGCTAGTCCGTGAGATTCAAGGATCCTCCTGTCTCTGCCTTCCCAATCCTGGAATTACAGTTATATGCTTCCATACAGGCTTTTTATGAGGATACTGGAATTCAAACTTAGATCCTAATGCTTGTAAGGCAAGCACTTTACCCACAAAGCTCTCTCCCCAGCTCTCTATTTCTTTTTCAACTGGAAAAAGAAGACACCATCAGAACTCAGCTATTCCAGGAAAGCCCCCAACTACCCCACCAGAGGCTATAATTGTAATTCTTATTAATCTGGCTTAGGGTGAATATTTATAGACGGACAAGAAGCAGCACCAAGGGACTGTCATTTCACCCATAGTGCCCTGAAGCATGCTCACATTCCCTGAACCTCACTTGGCATCACCCTGACCCAGCCCAGCAGCCTCATAAATACCCACAAGGACAACAGAAAGCCACTCCAAGGCTCAGTGCTATGATCTGCTACAGAGAACAAACGCAAGGCCCTGGGCAGAGATGCCACTCCCTGGATTGCCTCTGAGCTTGTCAGAGGATGTGGCTCTGCCGTGTAGCAATTTCCTCTGAGATAAAGCTGTCCATCTTGGAGGGAAGCTCATTAAGGTACAGGACATTCTAAGGGGAGGTGAAACATTACAACCCACAGGGAGGCTCCTTCAGCTCAGAAAGCAAACAACTCAGAAGCTGAGAAAGTCCCTGAAACCGGTCAGATTCACTAGGCCCCTCCCTGCATAAGATTATGTAAGCTGTAAGGACAGCAGAGAGACACCCTCAGACCAGCCAAGCTGCCTAGGAGAGGCTCAGACCCACCGAGCTACCTGGAAAGGACACTCTCCAATCTGTAGCGCTCCCTGCAGGTTGTGCAGTACACTTTAGGTTTTTTGCTTTCATGAACTGTCACCCATGGTGGGATAAGCTTTTGGTGCGGCAGCTATTTAGGGGCTATTTTCTTCTTCTGTAAGTAACCCCTCCCCACATTCCTGTAAATAACCCAGTAAAACTCATGGTTCACCGACTTGGATTTTGGTGATATCCTTACTTTGATCTGTCACTGGTTCCCTATCTGGAGTAAGAAGACATTTGTTCATGTCTCTCCGCACAACGGTCTCCTGGCTGAGCACCTCTTTCCCACTCTGCATGTGGCTAAGATGGTGGAACCTTCATGTTAGCTCAGGAGAGCAGTGGATCCACGTCTTTTCTATGATCTGAAGCATTGGGCATGGGCCCCTCCACAGACTACTCTGAAGACCCAGATTTTCTGTCCAGTTTATAGTCTGCAGTATACCAGGTCAAGCCTTCAAAGACCTTACTCCTTGCAATGGGAGACAGTACCCCAAAAGCAAAGTAGAATGAATCAACTCCTGAAAGTTTTACTCTGACCTCCCTATGACACATGCACCCCTACATACACACATACTCTTTTAAAATTTATGTGTATTAACGTTTTGCCTACATGTATGTGTGTGTACCACATGCATGCAGTTCCCACAGAGGTCAGAAGAGGGTGTTGGATCCCCTGGAACTGGAGTTGCAGGCAGTTGTTAGCTGCCACATGGGTTCTTCTAGAGCATACAGGTCCTCTGGGAGAGGAGCCATCCCTTGAGTCCCCCACATGATAATTTTTTTAAAAAGAAGGTATAAATGAGGGAAAGCCTCCCCCCCCCACATCCCCCCCATGGAACACTGTGCATCTCCTTTCCAAAGAGGACCCAGTACCTTTTCTCCACCTGTTGGTATGGAAGATTTATATTATTTAAATACAAAAGAACAAATGATTTCAGAATTCACCGACTAGTAATTATCCTTAGCAGCAGATGTGCTTCCAAACAGGCAGTAAGAATTTAGACATCACAGGCCAGGGAATGTGGCTCAATTGGTAAAGCAGTTGCTTAGCATGCTCAAAGCCCCGGATTCCATCCCCAGAACTGCACAAACTGGGTGTGGTGGCCCACACCTGTCTCCCAGTTCTTGGTGGAGGAGGCAGAAGTTCAAGGTCAAACTCCACTACACAGACAGTTGGAAGTCAGCATTGACTACATGAGATCCTGTCTTAGACAATAAAACAAAGCAATAAATAAATAAATAAAAATTTTAAAAAGGATGAAAAAAAGAATTTATACATCAAACCAAGTTTTGTAAAAGAAAACCTGTGTTCACTAGGTAGTGGGTTGTTTTTCTAGAACTGAACATATGGAGGGAACAACACAAAAACTCACAGAAACAGAGCCCAGGGGCCAGAGAAATGGCTAATTGGGTAAAGGTACTTGTGGCCAAGACTGCCGACCTGAGTTCAAGGCCTGGGACCCACATGGTGGAAGGATAGACAGCTCAAAAACAAATTGGAAGTCAGGTGTAGTGGCACACGCCTTTAGTCCTAGCACTCGGGAGGCAGCCTGGTCTACATAGTGAGTCTCAAGCCAGCTGTTGCTACAGGAAGACCCTGTCTCTAAAAACAAAAACAAATTGAGAGAACCAACTCCCAAAAGTTATCCTCTGACCTCCACACATGCACCATGGCAAATACACTCCAACACACAGGACTGACAGACAGACAGACAGACAGACAGACAGATGTTAAACAAAAATTTTAAAAAATAAAAGAGCAGAGCCCAGCCCAGGAGCGTAGGAGAACCTGGTGGCCCTGAGGCACCATGCCTGCAACTTGCTGGGTTTTACTGTTGGCTCTTTATCTTACAAAATCAAGTTCTGCTCTTAGTAGGAACGGAGCGTTTGTATGTAAGGGAGCATGGTGAGTCACTGTGTGGTCCTCCCCAGCAGGGAAGCCACTTTTCTCCACCTCACCGACTCTAGCCCCCTTCAGATAGGCCAGTGTATGGTCAGACACCTAATGTTTCTTTGTAACCGCTCATCTCCTAGGCATCTGTCTGAGAAGTATCAGGCAGTATTCGTAGACCTGTCTCCTTTGGAAGCTACGGAATATTCCACAGCTGTCTGTCTGTATTTTCCCATCTCCCTCTCCCACCCACCACCAGCAGCCTGGCCTCGCACCATGAGTACACAAAACTATAGTGGACACCTTGCCTTTAAAGGAGAAACATTCGAAATTGGGATTGCCGAGTCAATATATCTAGCCACTTCCATTGTGTTGAACGCCCCAGGGCCCCGTGTAACTGTTCCTATAAACTGCTCCCTCTGAGACAGTCAGTCTTCAAATGCTGTGCCCTTTCCACAGGTGGAAACACCTCAGAGTGACTTTCATCCTCATGTCCCTGACTCCACGAACCTGAGTTGCTTTCCATGTAAACTTGACCTCTGCCTCCATGTTCGTGATCCTTGCCGGTGTGTCTGTTTCACATTTGTTTATTGCAAGCAAGCTTTTTGTATATTGGAGACCTACCTTTTTTATATATTGAGCACTTACCTTTCACAGGAATTTCAGACTTGCCCCAATTTTTCCTTTGTCATTTCACATTGTCCCATATGCACAAGTTTTTGTTTCATTTGTTTTGGTTTTGAGGGTAAAGTATGTATGTGTGCTTTTGAGACAGGGTCTTGTGTAGCCCAGGTTGGCCTCAAATACAATATATAGCTAAGGATGACCTCAAACTTCTGATCTGCCTGCCTCAACCTCCCCAGCACTGAGATGGTAGGCATGCACCACCACAGGCATGCATCACTCTATTTGTTTCTGGGAATTAAATCCAGGGCTTTGTGCATACTAAGCAAGCACTCTACCAACTGAGCTACATTTTCAGCCTCAGAATGTTTAAGTCTTATGCTGAAAATTTGTCTCTTTGTATGTCATTTGTCAATCCCTCAAGATGTTTATTTCTACCTTCCAGTCCTGGTTAAAGGTAACTCTTTGGCAGAAGTCACACAGCCACACACCTAAAACTGCACCTGTGATAGTCATACTTGCAAGCTTTTTGTTTGAGTTTCTGTGGGTCAAACACAGCACTCCGTCCATGCTAAGCAAGTGTTCTACATGGTACATTCCCAGCTACCTAAGGCTTCCTGCCCCCTGGAAACAGCTATCCCCTGGCAAAGCTGCAAAGCTGCGGCACCTGGCTGGTACCTGGCCTTTTCCTCCTTCCTGGTCCGTTACCGGCAGTGATGGTGCTCCAGGAACGCTTCCATCAGAGTCCAAAGGTTCCTGGGAATGCTTCTCTTATTTTTGGCAGATTTCTGAGTTTTCTAGAAAGAGACTGGCTTCATTGGTCTAGGCAGAATTAGTTGCCCCAGGTGTCTGTGGACGCTGCTGCGCAAAATGTTCCTGAAAGTTCACAAAAGGTGCCAGTGAGCTGAGGAGTCTCCTGGTGGTCTGAGATGCACCCCCATGGATGTGTAGGTCAGCTGGCCAGCTGACCAGGCTGAAGGACTGGCCTATCCACATGGCATTCTTAGCCAAGTTGAAGGCCCACACTGGCAGACCAAGGAAGTGTGTTCAAGGAAGGAGTGTTGGGAGCCTGCTCCCACTGACCTCTTTCAGACGGTTTCCTGGGCCCCTGGGGACCTTCATTGCAAGGCTGCCCTGGGAGTTGCCTGAGGCCAACAGGCAAAGCAGGATTTCAGTCAATGCCTGCTGAATGCCAAATGGGGCAAAGGGCACCTAGCCAGGTCCAGGGGGTGGGGAATAAAGCTCAGCTCTGCACTGGAAGAAGTTACATGACTCTGTGGAAGGAGAGCACCCACAGGGAGCCAGACACAGCAGGACAGCACAAACCAGAGGCTGCCCAGACAGTGGGGTTTTCTAGGACCTCACTGGGCCTGGCCCAGCATCTGTAGGACCTAAGGAGACCTGTGGAAGGCCAGGCCCATTCCTCCTGGGAGGCTGCCTAGGAGCAGGGGCCCAGCCATAGAGGCTTGCACAAATCAGGAGAAGGCCACAGCATGCAATTGTCCCCACATCAAGCATTCAGGGCAGGGTGACAGCACAGAGGCCTTCTACCTCACTATGAGCTGTGGGCAACTACCACAAGCATGGGTCCAACACACAGACTATATGGTTGCAAGGGCTCCTGATGGAGACATCTGGAATGTATGACTCTCATACAGTATTTCTCAGCTCTCAGCTGTATGAGAAATCCCATCTGGGGGAGAGGGGAGAGGTATCCTCATGTACATGTCTGGCTCAAATATGGATGCCCGGGTAGGTCTTTCCAAAGATACACAAAGCAACACTCCAGTCTGACCCTCCTATCACTCACATGACTTTGTCATGGATAGGGAGGGACCTATCAGAAAAGCCAAAGTGGGTTGGGAGGAGGGGAAATTTGGACACTGGACAGTGGGGCCATCCCTGTCCCCTCACCCCACCTGGTCCCCCCAATCTCTCTCCATCCTCTCCCAGGATCCACCCCAATCACACACATATTCCTCCCTTTGAGTTCTTTGCTTTAGAGACTCTGAAGCATTAACCTGTCCCCAAAGTTAAGCCATTTGGCATTGAGCTATTAGGGAGGTCAACAGGAAGGCAGCATCCCCATCTCTGGGGCACTGGGCAGTTCCTTAGTGTGACATCAGCTGGCCACATACTCCTATCATGCAGCCAAATACATCAGGGTCATGCTGTCAGAGAGGCTCAGTGACCCAGTGGAGAAGACTAAACAGAATAAGGTTTTGCTTGAAGCTGAAACGCTGTACATCACTGACAACTTGAAATAAGGTCAGTTTATTAGCATGTTGCTCTGAGTTCCCGAAGAAAACACCCAGAGAAAGGATTCACTGTTGCTAGGGGCTCTATCCAACCATGTGAGCTACAACACCCCAGGCATCATGGAGTCTAAAGGATTGGAGCACCCACACTGCTTTTCTTCTGCCTCGTGCAACAGGTTAGCTTTACCTGTGTGTCTGTGGCAGCCGCTTGACCCTTTCAGGTAAAATAACAAGCACCTTTGAGCTCCGGCCATCTCATTTGACTCTACACGTATCCAGAAGAATGTGGCCTGCTGGAGATGGCTGTGTGGTTGTCTTTCCCCAACAGAGTCTACATCCAACACAGGGAAGTGCGGGAGCCCACACTGACCCCTTAAGCACTCCTGAATCCCTCTCCATTTCTGGTCCACAGTCCTTGGCAAACTCCCAGCTTCCCAAAGACAGGACACCCTCTGATCCACCACCATTCCTGAACTGCCCAGCACAGGCACCCAGCTGTAGAGAGCTCCCACACGTCTGGGACAAAATCAGTCCCTATACATCTGAGGCCCCTTGAGAATAAATGGAAACCCTTTTCTGTTCATTCCAGAATGTACCATGGAGGCCTCCAATACTCCCAAGCACCATAAGGGAAAAGCCTCTGAAGAACCACGAAAGAGCACAGCCCACTGGCTCTCCATGCTAAGAGCCTCAGGAGCAGGGCTGCATGTTTAGCCCCCCCCCCAGCCCCGGGTTCAAGCTTCTGCCCTGTCCTCTGCCTTCCCTGGGTGTCAAATCCTCCACAAACTGCACTGGAGAAGGGCAAGGGAGATTCATCCCTTTTCAGCCTGGAAACATTGTCCAACGTCTTCAAGAAAAGAATGAGATTTCTCCATTACCCATTTGGGCAATGCTCTCCTAAGTATCTGGACACATCTTATTCCTGTGGAATCCTGGATGTGTCCGGGAGGAGTGTGTCACAGCCCCTGCCCACAGGTGTACTCAGCCCCTCAAGAAGAAATGTCAGTGGGACAGTAAGAACCAAGTCACAAAACACACTGAACACACTGGTGACTGAGTCTCTCTCCAAGTGCCTGTCTGAAAATCTCAGGAATTCAGAAAAGAGTCGCTGGGACTTGGGGCTTGAGATAGGACTGGCTCTTCCCTGGAGATTCCCAAGTGAGCTCTGAACGCACATGTGTCAGAAGCCGAGCTGTGGGGTGTCCACCTCTGCACCCTAAACAGGGGAGCCTGGGTGCTAACCCAGAGCTGGGGTCTTCCAACGCTTGACACCTTTTCAGCTCTCCCCTTTTAGGTCATGGTCAAAGGACAAGTCCTGCCTGGCATGGTCAACGCCCCCAGAGAGGTCCCAAACAAGTCAAGCACAGTCCTCTAGTTAATGTCATCTGCAGACACCTTGCTGGGAGGCACCTTTCGTTTGATATTTTGGATAGTGGGCAGGGCACTCAGAGAAGGGTAAGCTGGTAGGCAGGGCTGCCCTTTGCAACCTCAGCGGGCTGCCTGCAATACAATTTGTTCAGAAAGACTGACAGTATCTGGATGCATAATTGGCCCAAGGAGGGAAGTCATCACCTTCAAGGAACAAAGGTGCTCAGTGCTCCTGGCTGCCAACCAACTGCCCCGGGGAACCAAGGGCCTCCTCACTTCACCACATTCTTGGAGGGGAGGGGCGGCCTGGGCTTGTTCCCCTCCCAGGGGTTTGTGCCCGCTGAGCACAGCCTGGCCACACCAGAGACAAATGTAAAGGGGCTCAGGGGCCAAATGGCTTTATTTAGTTTCTCTAAATCTTGTCACTCCAGCTCACAGCTAGAAAGATATTACCTTAATCCCTCATCCCTAAACTGGCCAGAAAGAGCTGAAATGCAGACAGGTGTCTGCCTTGCATGCCAGCAAAGCAGGCAGCAAGAAGAGGTTGCGAGCTGTGTTTACAGGGAAGCAGGAGAGTAAGAGTAAACTACAACCAGGCACGGAGATAAAAATAACAGCAGTACAGGAGGTTCTGCCAAAGGAAGGCTGTGCTCACGTCTAATCGCCAGGGAGCCTGGGCCTGAGACCCAGCTCTGAGGACACCGCCGAGCCCAGCTCCCCAGGCAGCCTTAGGGCTGATTCTCTGTCTGTCATCTGACTCCACGGCACTTTGCTGAAGTTCAGCTGGGATACAGGACTCCTGCACACTGAGCAGCTAACCTTGTAAACAGCTCCTAGACCATCCCTGGAAGGACCACAAAGTGACGCCTGGGAATGTTCCAAGCCAGGAAGCCATCCCCAGCTGTGCGACCTTGAGCTAGTCACTTTGCTCTGAGATCCTGCATGGGCAGTGCTTCTCAAGATGAGGGGGTGTGGAACACCAGTGCCAGGGCTAAACACTGGCTCCCTGTACTTCAGAACACTGTTTACAGAGGAGATTGGGTGTGGGGCTCCTCCCATTAATCCCCAGCTGCACTGTTTGGAACATCCCCACCCTGGCCTGGTGACCAAATCGGGCAGGGTGTCCAGGTGGGGTGACAGCAACATCAGCCAATGTCAAGACAGTTGCAAAGCCTGAGTTCAGGAGAAGACACTGAGACTAGGGCCATGGCTTCTTGTCCCAGGTGCCAGCTTCATTCTGATGGAAGACTTAGTTCCTTGCCTTGTGGCTTGTGACCCAGAGGCCTTGTGAACCCATTTGTAATTAATTGAAGAGAAATTACAGAAAGTTGAGGAAGCCCCCCAGTTACCTGGGTATTCACGCTCCTCTTACGTTTTCATGTAGCATGTCATGCCTGACACATAGCAAAAAGCACTGATCCCACAAAGAGATGTAGCTCACTTTAAGCTGCTGGAAGCTGACAGAGCCAGGGTCTTTACCTCTCTAATTTTTCATTATATTTTTAGTCATTTGTGTGAGGAAATGTGGGAAGGGGGCATGTGGGAGAGATGTGCACACACACATGCTAGGACACATATGTGGAGATCAGAGGATAACTTGCAGCAGTCTGCTCTCTTTTCACCATGTGAGGCCCAGGACTGGAACTCAGGTTGTCAGGCTTGGCAGCAAGCACCTTTACCAATCTCCTTCCTCCACCTCTAGACAGCACCATGCCATGAGCTCACTTGCTGGAGTTCTTAGCAGCCCCACCTGACCTTCCTCCAAGAAAGCTATATTTATTATTTTTATGTGTATGAGTGCAATGCCTGCATGTATGCAAGTGCATCTATGTTGTACAATGCCCACGGAGGTCAGAAGAGGGCTTTGGATCTCCTGGAACTGGGGTTATAAACAGTTGTTAGCTGCCATGTGGGTTCTGCGAACCAAACCCAGGTGTTCTTAATGGCTGAGCCATCTCTACAGCCCCGGGAAAGCTGTATTTAAATGTGCCTTTTGACAAGCAACGAGGCACACACAAATGCACAATGGCTTCTGGATGCCCGTCTCCCTCAGGTTGTGTGGTGTGAGCCAATGGCTCCTGCAGATGAGCAAGATGGCACAGATGAGACTGTCTTTCGGAGGGTGTGCGGATGTTCAGCTCCAGGGACTGTAGGTAATCAAAACATGAACCCCCAAGTGGTAGGCACAGTCATTGTTGGGCAAAGTAGCAGCTACGGGGTTCATCCAGGTAGTAGAAACATGAGATGTGGTTCCAAGTGGGGAGATGTATCTGTTTTCTGTTGTATAACTGAATGTCCCAGACTGGGTGAGCTATAAAAAAAAGAAGTTTTTAATCCCAGCACTTGGGAGGCAGAGGCAGGCAGATCTCTGTGAGCTCAAGGCCAGCCTGGTCTACATAATGAGTTCCCGGACAGCTGGGGCTACGGGGAGACCCTGTCTCAAAAAGACCAAAAAAAAAGTTTTGAGCCCTAATGTAGCTCAGTGGATCGAGTGCTTGCCTTGTACCATGAAGCCCTGGGTTTGAT